TGCATCCTATAATAAAGTCTCCTTTAAGAAAGCTTGCTTCAGAACAACTCTACTACTTGTCAATGGCGGAGTCTTAATGCTGAACCAGGCACTCCCATATTCAACAAATATTCAAGCACTAGGAGATGGGCTTGACGCTGGGGGAATCAGAAAAACAGTAAGTCATTATCACTAACCTCAAAGAGGTCACATAAATCTGGGACAAAAACAGATCATTCTAAACCAGTGTATTGGTCTCAATGTTTGTCTTCCCCTAAAATTTGTGTGCTAAAATCCTAGCCCCCAGGGTGATGGTTTTTGGAGGTGGGGCCTTTAGAAGATGGTGAGATCATGAGGGTGGTTCCTCATGCATGGGATTAGGGCTCTTATAAGGGGCTGAACACCCAGAGTTCATTCCTTCCACCAGGACACAGCAGGAAGGCACCACCTATGAGCCACACAGAGGGTCCTCACCAGACGCTGAATCTGCCAATGCCTCGGGTGTGCTAAAGGCAGCCCCTGGCCTCAAGAATCCTGCATCTTAGAGGGAAACCACAGGAACACTTAATAAAAGTTCAAGACAACCAAACAAGAGGCTCCCAAATAATTATTGCTAAATGAGCAGTCCCTGAAATGTTACAGAAATTCAGAGGGAGGAAAATACACTTTGAGCTTGTCAGTTAACGAATTTTCAGAGCAGGTAGAGCTGAGTTAGGTCCATGGAGTAGATTCATGGAGTAGAGTGTGCCCAGCCACACTCTTGGAAATGATGCTTTTGAAAATTAAATATCCACAAGGTACAGTGACTCACGCCTGTAATCCCAGCAATTTGGGAGGCTGAGGCAGGTGGATCAAGAGGTCAGGAGATCAAGACCATCCTGGCCAACATGCTGAAACCACATCTCTGCTAAAAATACAAAAATTAGCTGGGTGTGGTGGTACGCACCTGTAATCCCAGCTACTCGGGAGGCTGAGGTAGGAAAATCACTTGAACCAGGAAGACGGAGGTTGCAATGAGCCAAGATCGAGCCACTGCACTCCAGCCTGGAGACAGAGCAAGACTCTGTCTCAAGGAAAAAAAAAAAAAGAAGAAGAAAAGAAAATATTAAATATATCCACAGAGTTCCATGTTTCAAAAAGTGTTTTCACAGCCAACTCGTGATGCTCATGAGCACGCTAGGGAGGAAGGGATGTAACAGAATCGCTGTTTGATGATAGGGAAACCAAGACACAGAATGAGTGATCGGCTTAGGTCACAAAACTGGTGAGTGGGGCAGATGCTCGTGCTCCCTCCCTGATCCAAGGCTCTTCCTATCACCTCTTCCATTAATTGGGGAAGAAGACATAGAATCATACATCTCAGAGGAATTCTATCCTTCCTCTGGAGCTTCTGGACAGACTCGGTCCACCTCCTCCCTGGTGTGGCAGCACAGGAGTTGAGAGTTTCTTTTAGAGATGTCTGGAACAAAACGTATACTTGTTAAATATGTCTCCCCCAAATGACTGTACACTCTGAGAGGGCAGATACCATGTCTTGTTCAGCGATTAAGTTCAGTACCTGGCCCATAATTAAGAGTGTATTCACATATATTACATGGTTGAATGAAAACAATTAAAAGGACAAATGAACCAAACAGATCCGATCAGAAGAGTAGATGCCTGACATTTAGAAGCAAATCTTCCAGACTAGGTGTGGTATGTCAGCCTATAATCCCAGCACTTTGGGAGACCGGGGTAGGTGGATCACGAGGTCAGTTCTAGACCGGCCTGGCCAATATGGTGAAACCCCATCTCTACTAAAATACAAAACTAGCTGGGCTTGGTGGCACATGCCTGCAGTCCCAGCTACTCCGGAGGCTGAGGCAGGAGAATTGCTTGAACCTGGGAGGCAGAGGTCGCAGTGAGTAGAGATCACGCCACTGCACTCCAGCCTGAGTGACAGAGCAAGACTCCATCTCAAAAAAAAAAAAAAAACAAGCGAATCTTCCAAAGCTTCTCCTCTTTGCTGCCCCCATCTCAAATCTTCTTAGTGTTATGTCCAGAGGGTAGGCAGAAGTGGGGAAAAGAGAAATGCTAAAATTACCAGCAAGCACCAGGCTGCTACTTATTAAGACTCTAGGGAAAGGATGATGAAGAAGAGCAGGAAGTGTCCAGCACTTAGCGTGAGCTCTGGTAGTCCCCAGTGCCTGCTGTGTTAGTTCTTGGTAACTGCAAAGGAAAACTTCGGTATTAGGTATGAGTTGGAGGTGTGAATGTTAAGTGCTTGCTACGAAATTCGATTTGGAGTTCTGCTTAGTCAGGACAAGCTTCTAAGATTCTTGTGTGTCCTTCTCTGATGACATTCTCCACATCCCTTTGTCATTGTCCTGGAGTAAAATCAGCCCCCAGGCATAAGGTGGGGAATTGTCACATCATCTAGCAACTGTCCACTCACTTTTAACCTCTCCAAGGCAAGGCTGACAGAGGAACCAAAGTAGAAAAGGCGACCAGTCAGGAAAGCCATGAAAGGTCAGCACCCCCACCGTGGTCCCCCAAAAATCACTACTACCCTCTGTTCTCCTCACCACCGTACTTCAACACCCCTCCCTCCTACTCAAACCAGTGCCAGCTCTGGAGGAACACCAGATGATCTAGAAGCCATAGCTTATGCCAAGAGCCACGGGCAGTTTCATTTGGCACAAAGTCTCAAAGAGAAATGCTCTTTGTTTTCACCACCAGAGGGAATGCCATCAACTCCTGCTCCCCAAATTCCCACACTCCTTTCCCTGTCAAGGGCAGAGGAAAGCACATTCTGGCCCTTCCAGACCCAAAACACCCAGCTAAAGACAAAAGCTGCTGACCCTATGTGATCCAGGCAGATTCACTGTCCACACCCCCACACCTCACCAGGCTCCCCAAAGGCTGTCTTGGCTGGAGAACTTGGGATGTCACTCTGCGGCTTATGGTCACAGAGCTCAGGCAAGCACTGTCACTTGGGCCATCTGGTCTTGGGCATCTAAGTTCTTTGCTTACCCTCCTTATACCCACTGGCTTCCCTCAGGTTCTTCAGTTTCAGAGAGAAACAAAAAAAACTTGATTCACCATGGGGAGGTGATGACCACATGACAGGGAACTTACGTAATTCAAGACCGTCATACCCAGAACTACAGTGCAAGAAGGTCCTCAGAGCTCCTTCAGCACGTCATGCGATTTGAATGTTGCTCCATAATTTTCAGGAAAACTTTCCATTAACAAGGAAAGTGCTTCATTTTCATGAACCCTGACCTCAGAAACCTGACCTCATTTCCTGAAACAGCCTGGACAACACAAGCCTGTGTGCACACAATCCATCCATTCAATTTGTCATCAGGCCAAAGCCACACCCCCAACACACACACACTCTCCAACCTTCCTTGGCCTTCCTTTCTGCTGGCTAAGAGGACTGAGACCTTCTCTCATCTGTTTAAGACAAATCTCCCAAAGGGAAAGAGCAGAAACTAAATTTGATCATGTTAAGTTCCAGCTTTCCAAGGGCAAGGAAGAATCCCACGTTTTAGCCGCAACAATTTTGTGACAGGAAGCGTGGGTTTTAATATATGAAGAAAAACTTCTGCAGTATCCTGACAAAATGTTTTGAGGAAAAGGCATATGGATGTATTTTTATCAGGAACTGCACTCCTCCCGCAAGACAGCAGGCACAAACATTTTCAAAACACTTAGGTCTCGGCAAAGTGAAATTCTGCTATGAAAACGAAATTGGATGCTCATCCTCTCCAGCACTTTCTCATGGTGGTCCTTAAAAAAATCACTCTGTCATTCAGTATTTTAATAAGGAAAAACTCTTGATGGTATCACATTGGCTAACTTCAAGAAAAAAACTGCTGCCCCACACCCTAGAGCCAGAAAGGTTTTACCAAACTGGGTTCGACAGAATATACTTGCAGAATATCTATTTTTAGAACCCTTAGCAGTACAGTAACAGTCTTCCATTTCAGATCAGCTGGCCTCCAGCCACATCAGTGAAGTAAGAGGAACTTCAGCCCCTAAGCCTTCCTGCTCCCCAAGAGCACCAGGGCTCCTACATAAATGGTTAGCAATAAGTCATGTTTTATTAAAGTTTTAACTCTAGGCAGCAATTTTGCTTTAAAAGGTTTCTCTTTGGAGTGCATTTTTGTTTTAAAAAATTAAATATTATTAGATGTGTTAGTATTCAGAAGCAGCAGATTTCAACAACTCACACTTCCTCTGAACTTTTTTTTCAACAGGTATTTCACACAATAGGGAGGGCCTGAATTCTCAGAATTGTACCTCTGTAAGTTCATCGCTGCCCTCCTCTTTTAGGGGGTGGGTGGAGAATCCCACTCACCACTCAAGCTCTGGAAGGTCTGAAGGCAGAACCAGTGTGAAACAAAAGGTCCGCTTTCACTCACCACTCCCAAAGCCGGGAAATATCCAGCGAAGAGTGGCCATGACGTGGCATGAGGTGGCCCAGGGGTCATGAGTGGTTCACCTTCACCGGCCATTTCTCTCACTTCTTTAGCGTGTGGCACAATGCTCCCTAACATCCCACCTTTATCAACCTGTCAAGAAAAAACATGAGTGCAGCAAAATATCAAACAAGTACTTGCTCCTAGGAGCAATTCAAACACACTTTGTTCAATAATGGTTTCATTCCAACTGGCCCAAAGAGAAAAAAAGAGTAAGGAATTTTTTAAAGCCTATTTAACAAGATGAAGCCTCAGAAGGCAGCTGGCTTAGATGCAAACACGTGCTGCACCAACAAAAGCCAAATCTGAGGTGTCGACAAAAGGAAGTCACTCTTAATCTAGAAATAGACCTTAAAAGTAGCTAGCTTGGGGCTAATGAGAGGCAGGGCAAACTTAGTTACGCACTGCTGGTTAACGTACCCACTCACCCTGATTAAACCGCTTGAAAATCGGGGAGCTATTTTCTAACAACCCTTTTGAAATGCTATTGAGAGATGAACTTTACATTTCTATGTAACTTCAAGATGCTGCTCCCAAACACAGCCACACCAGGTATTTCAATTAAATAATTTTATTGGGGAAAAAAAATCACTTTCAGCACCAAAGCAAGAAAACTATTACTCAATCAGTTTCCCAGATCACATGCAAAGAACACAAATGCTCAAGACGGTCCACAACCAGCGGCTGCATTCAGCTGGAATGGACCGGGGTCCCACAGTGTTTGTGCCACAAGTCAATGGCCTTGCTCACGATCGCGTCCGAGCTGTCCTGGGGAATCTGTGGACAAGCAAACCAGTCTTTGTGAAATTTCAGTGTTTACAGCTTGTGTGTCTTCCCTCATTTGCTGTGGCATAAAATTTACTTCTATGGGAGTTTTCACTGTTTTTCAGAAACTGACAGCATAAAAGGCTTGTGTCACATACTACCTGAGGACAGGAAAGAGCTCTAGTGTCAGCCTGACTGGGTTCAAATCCTGCACTGCTCACTAACTGTGCACCTTTGAGCAGGTTACTAAGCTACCTGGGTTTCAGATCCCATCTCTAAGACGGGGGACATGATAGCCTGCCTTTGCAGAGCTGTTAACAGTATGACATCAGACAACCCATCGAAAATACTTAGCACAGGCCTGGCACCATTAGCCACTTAAGGTTATAATGATGATGATTCATTTATTCAAGACATATTTACTGAGTACTTTATTATTATTTACCAGGCCATTGTTCAAATGTTAATACTATTTTTAAAATGAATAGATTTAGGATTCTGTGAAAATCATTCAGACATAAGCCCCTTTAATCCTACTTCCTGCCTGGTAAAGGTATTCCAAGATACATAGGGAGGGAAAAGTTAATTTCATTACCATTGCCTTTTTCAGCAACATACTAAGTGGCCGAGGGGTAATACGATATATTAATAAACCCAACTGGGATTACACTAGAAACAGTAACAGAAAAAATGGCTTACAAAATCCTTTGAAATACAGAATCCCTTCTGAACTGACAAAAATTACTTATTATAAAATGACAAATCTCATCTATTCCTTTTCCTGACATGCCTGCTGATAGTCATGTGGAGGATGAGATTCGGGTTCTAAACGGACATATTCACGAGATGATCTCAGATCATCATCTCCCAAAGACAGGATGCAAACTAATCCTCAGGCCAACTTTAAGCCAAACTTTTTCAAAGGAAAAATGTTTCTTATAATGTAAAAATATACTGTATTATTTTTCTGAAATAATCTAATATAACAGGAAAATCTGACTTGCTAAGGTGACTTCATTTTTAGATTCAAAATCAAATCTAATTATTTCTCTTAAAAAATTTCTCTAAAATAATCATTATAATTACCCTCTGAAATATTCTAAGGTATTATTTCTCTGAAATAATCTCATGTAACAGGAAAATCTGACTTGCTAAGGTGACTTCATTTCTAGATTCAAAATCAAATCTAATTATTTCTCTTAAAAAATTTCTCTAAAATAATCATTATAATTACCCTCTGAAATATTCTAAGGTATTATTTTTCTGAAATAATCTCATGTAACAGGAAAATCTGACTTGCTAAGGTGACTTCATTTCTAGATTCAAAATCAAATCAGAGCACACTTACATTTTCCAGAAACTTTGTTATCTTCTCTGTACTGTTCAGTGCCATAACTTTTATTTTAAAGGTTAATAAAATTTCAACAGCTACAAAAACTAGGATCTTACAGGATCCACTCACAACTTTATCCCAAACCCTATAAAAGTAAGGAGACAGACTCAAATTACAAAATAAAATCAAATTGCTCCAATTTTATGTAACATCTCCAAAGAAGAACTTTTGTGAAATAATCATCAAAACAACAATAAAAGAGAGAAGCCACTTGAAATCTATTCTAGATACAATCAGCACTAGAAGGAAAAAGCAAAGTTCACTAAAAATTGCTGCTCTCCACTAGGTATCTACCAAAATCACATTCCCTCATGTTGGGAATCTGACGTTTTTGAGGAAGAAAAAGAAAATCCTAAACTAATGTTTGTATTCTGCTAATATTCCATAATGCTAATATAATCATAGTATACTAAGGGACAACAAAAGATGTATATGAAATGAGATAAATTCTATTTCCTTGCCAGAGATTCTGGGGACAGACTCCTTAAACTTCTCTAAGGGCTTAGGAGCCACTTACTGATCTAAAACCACTCTAAGATAATTCTGATCATTCCTATAACTCCTAAAAGTTGGTATTCTACTTTATACACTTAGTCACATATTATCTTATAATGTTCTCTGTGTACTGCCTTTCTCCTCTACTACATCACAGAGTCTCCATGGGTGGCACCTGGACTCAGAAATAACTCGTAACACTTGTCTGAAACTGACTGGAAGAACTTAGTTTAAATCTCAAATCTTTGAACTGCCTTCAGCTTTTTTTCTTCTGAGACGGAGTCTTGCTCTGTCGCCCAGGCTGGAGTGCAGTGGCACAATCTTGGCTCAAAACAACCTCCACCTCATGGGTTCAAACAATTCTCTGCCTCAGCCTCCCAAGTAGCTGGGATTACAGGCACCTGCCACCACACCCGGCTAACTTTTGTATTTTTAGTAGAGACGGGGTTTCTCCATCTTGGCCAGGCTGGTCTGGAACTCCTGACCTCATGATCCACCCGTACCTTGGCCTCCCAAAGTGCTGGAATTCCAGGTGTGAGCCACTGTGCCCAGCCCAATTGCCTTCAGCTTCTTTAAAGCTATCATGATGAAACTAAGAAATAATAAGATTTCCGCTAGATGAGGATTTGTCACATTTCTGGAAAAGAGGAGCTGATGCTTATACAAACTCCAGGAGACCGCTAAAGGTGTGACTACTTCACAACATCTAACACAATGAGGGCCCTCAATTTTTCTAATTGTATATTCAAGAATAAGCAGAATCATGTGCTGTTATGGTAGCTGCTGAAGGATGGGGCTTCAAATTATTGTATTGTTCTAAAGCAAATTTATACTCTGATGGCTGACCACATGGAAAGCTAGAACTCTGCTCTAACTCTAAGCCTTCAATATGTCTTCAAAAGAAATACTTGCCTCTGTAAACTGGATTCTGGCAAACATCCTGCAAAGCACCTCTTGAACCAGAGATCATAAGGAAGTTTGGACACCGCAGAACACATCTTCAGATGAGTCAGCAGTCTGCTATCTTCCAGATTCAAGTATTGTTCTAAAGCTTTTGGCTGAAAATTAAGAAGAGATTATTCATTTCCTGTGTCACAACATCATCTGATATTACAGTCTCTGATGCAAAAAAAGTTACATGCTGAATGCAAGGAAGTATTAGAAAACAAAACTTCAGAATTACCCAAGTCACTTGTGACACAGCAATTTCCTAGGTCAGCACTAACTCAAGTAACAAACCATCCAGGACTGAGGGGTTTCCCAGGACACAGGGCCTTTTCAGTATTAAAACTGGGGCAGTCCCAGGCCAAACGGAATGGTCACTAATACTAACCTCACTAGCCAGATTCAACAGCGTAAGGCAAAAGTCCAAAGCAAAATTCAACTGTTCTGAGGAGCTAAAGAAGGCACATTATATTACTGGCTGGTCTAGAGTAGACGATTATATAGTAAGGAAAAGGGGGGCTAAGAGGAAGGGTAAAACCAAAGAAACCAGAGTGGGATTAGAGTGGGGACAGGGCATTAGGAAGAATGAGACAAAAAGAGATGGTGATGAGAAGGGGCTGACCAGTCACTGACCATATATCCACTGCCCTGGGTTGAGCACTACTGTGCACCAGTACCAAGGAGGCTCACACAACAGGGATGTCCAGAGGATGAACTCTGCACCCAATACAAATATGCATGAGAATTTCTTAGAACTCAAGGGATAACAACTCAGAGGGAACAAAGCACCTGGATTCTACTTGGTAGCTGATGCTTATATAAACTTCTGGAGACCTCTTATGAGGTCAGGTGACAGCCAACTCTGGAAGACTGGAGAGCTAATAAAGCCAGCTCCCCAAATCTGGCCAAATTCCCCTTGCATCGGCTGCTGTATTTAGGGTCCACTGGCTGAGAACAGGTTCTAAGACTCAAAACCTTAAGTCCACACTCACTATCTGCAGAAGTACAACCAGAGCCCACATTACTTAAGCAAATGTAAATGTTTATTTTAACTCAATATCTATAGCTCTCTGCTTCTGTCAAAGAGGAAATTCATCACCTTTACAATGTCCACTATAGTCAGAGACTGTGGTACATACAATGAATAAAGTGAAAGGTAAGAGAAAGTCCCTGCCTTCAAGGAGCTTACAGCTTGAGACATACAAGTAAAGAGGTAACTACAATACACTGTATTGCTGTGATGCTATGACGGGAATAAGCGCAAGATCTTCCAGGAGAAAATCCTAACCTGGGCTGTAGGAGGCAGAAGCAGTTTCTTAGGAGCGGTGACATTTGAGCTGACCTCTGAAGAATGGACAAGAGTCAGCCAGGCAAAGAGGGGCCCACATAATAATATCTAGTCCAGTTTCCCCCTCTCTTTTTCAGGATATCTCTAACTTTTTCCTGTTTATCCAACTCTCTAAACTACTCAACAGTTTCTAGAGCTTCTCAAGAACACTTCAGACTATTTCCCAAACAAGGAATTTTGGTTGGTTTTGCAAAGGGGATATTTGCACTTTTTTCACAGTGACATGGCTGAAAACACACACACAGTTATACATTATGTCTCACAGTAAGGAAATTTCATCCAGAAGTCAGTACAAATAATTAACAAGATGGAGATGAGTGAACATTTTAAACTATGTGTTGTCTTTTTCCTTTATCAAACAATAAGCTCACGAAGGGAGGGGACTGTATCTGTTTTGCTCACTGCTGGTTCTTCGGTACCTAGAACACCACTTGGCATGGTAAGCACTCAATATATAACTATTGAGCAAATCAATACTGTGAATTAATATAAAGTTTTGAATACAGCCATCAATATCTTAATATCACTTGATGTACATCTTTTTGCCACCAATATCTTATTAATTTTTTAAACATTTTTCCTGGTTTATTCTAGCCTATTATAAGAAATCTTGAAACTATAGTAAAGAATAAAGAGGAGCTAAACATCAAGTATCATCATACTCCCAAAGACAACTACTGGTAATACCTAGGTTATAGAGCATATATCCTGCATATATACAGACACACTTTTCTGTCTTTTACTAGCTGAATTCATACCGAACACACGCTTTAGTATTTTGCTGTTGCACTCAACAAATTGTGGATATTTTCCCAGGTTAATGAATAATCTTAAAGGGTTAATATCCATACCTAAACAGAGCTTTTTAAAATGAAAAAGAAAAAAAGCCAAGAATTCTATAGGAAAATGCACATACCTCTTACCCATATAAAAACATGTTCAACCTTGCTTACAACAAAATTAATGCAGCCTAAAATTACACTGAAGTATCATTTCCTACCTATCAGAATGGCCAAAATTCAAGACTAATGACATACCATGTCAGCAAGGCTGTAGGGAAACAGTCTATTGCTTGTGAGGATGCAAAAGAATATGAGCTCTATTAAGGGGAATTTGGCAATATTTAGCAAAGTAATATATGCATTTACCCTTTGATCCAGTCAATCTATTTTAGGGAATCCAACTCAAATATACTGGCAAACATATGAAAAGCTGCATGTATAAGTCTATCTGTAACACTGCATATAATAGCAAAAGACTAGAAACATCCCAAATAGCCAAAAATAAAATCCAGGTTGAATAAACTATATTCACAATAGAACAGTATGAATATGCTAACCTGAGAATACTGTGTAGGCTGGGCATGGTGGCTCATGCCTGTAATTCCAGCACCTTGGGAGGCTGAGGTGGGTGGATCACTTGAGGTCAGTAGTTCGAGACCAGCCTGGCCAACATGGTGAAACCCCATCTCTACTAAAAATAAAAAACTTAGCTGGGCGTGGTGGCGCATGCTGGTAATCCCAGCTACTGGGGAGGCTGAGGCAAGAGAATCACTTGAACCTGGGAGGCAGAGGTTGCAATGAGCCAAGATTGCACCACTACACTTCAGCATGGGAGACAGAGCAAGACTCTATCTCAAAAAAAAAAAAAAAAAAAAAAAAAAATACACAGTACAGTAGTATAAACCCATGACAGGGAATAAAGAATATCTCTGTATACTAATACGGCATGATCTCCAGCATACAGCAGGTAAAAAGAGCAAGATGGGAAAAATGTGTACCATATGCTACTGCTTCATCTACGAAAGATGGTGAATTCAAATATATATATGTATATATATATTTGTATCTTTTTAATGGAGAGATTTATATTGTCTGACATTTTTCATACTTAGCAAATGATAGATACTACAGATGTGACTTATTATTACCATAATTATGTTTTACTCCTAAACATTTATTTTCAATATTTCCATTACCCTAAATTCTTACTTTATGAAGACAACAAACCATACATCATCAACAGAAGGCAAAATGTGACAAAAATAGGTACTTAATCACTCTGAGAAGAATAGATATTAAACTTAGGAAGAAGCTGCTAATAGTGCCTATAAAAAAACCTCTTTAGCATAGCTTTAAAAAAAACCACGTAGCAATAAAACAAAGCTCACTTACTTGAGTGATTAACACGATTAAGTTTGAGATGGTTTAAGAGAAACCTTCCATGCTACACAATTAAAGTTGGCCTCTATTCTCCTTGACAATGAGTGACCTTGTCAAAAAGCAGAATTTTGAAAAGCTTGTAAGGAGAGAGGCTATGATACAATCCTAGGAATCAGAACACTATGGCAGAATAAAAACATCACCACTCAAGAGTATAGTTATCTTCTTCTGAAGCCTATCATTGTCCATCACACACACATTTCCATAGAACTAAGCAGTAACCTAAACTTTGTGTTATAAGATAGACTAAACATGGTTTCACTAGAGAGAAAAGTTAAGCAAATCACTTGATGCCTAAATCAAACAGCAACACAAAGGAAATTTAGGTTCTTTTTACATTCTGTGAATGTTTTCTACAACGTTTTTGAAAACTTTTTAAAATAACTATTTAAAACTACATGCTAGGAACCATAATGAATACACTAAAAGAAGCACCATTTTTAAAGATGAGGAAACTAAGATTTAAGGGACATTAAGTAATCCTGCTGATTCTAAAATTCATTTCTGAAAAGAAATAGGCAAATTCAAGAATAGCCAAGGCACTTTTGAAAAAGAGCAACTTTCCTTCTCAGCTATCAAAATACACCAGAAAGTTGTATTAAACAAATCATGTGATATTGGCCCAGGAATAGACAAATAGCTCAATGGAATAAAAAGGAGCCCAGAAAGAGATATAAATATAAATAAATACACACACACGGAAATCCAGTATATGATAAAGGCAGCATTTCAAATCTGCGAAAAAAGGATGAACTAACAAATACATAGTGTAAGTAGTAGTTCTACTGCTTACTAACTGTGACCTTGGTCTTACTTAACTTCCCTGTGCTTCAGTTCCCTCATCTGTAAAAACAAAGACAATATTCTTGAATGAAGTAGCTCACTAACAATATAAATTTAGCATTGCCTGACATGAAGTACTTTCTCCGTAACACACAAACCAGAGGGGGAAGAGGAAGAGGAGGAAGAGTGATGTATTGATAGAAATGGTGGTGTTGCCGCAGTTAAGTGTGAGAGTGAAATCCAGTGTGTATCTGATGCCAGTCAGAAAGATAAATCCCTGACAAAGAGCTCCATTTAAAATGTTGAAGCATTTTAAAAAGTTAGGTGAAAAGAGGCCAAGGCACAGTGGCTCACGTCTGTGTTCCCAGCATTTTGGGAGGCTGAGGCAGGCGGATCACCTGAGGTCAGGAGTTCAAGACCAATCTGGCCAACATGGCAAAATCCCGTCTCTACTAAAAATACAAAAATTAGCCAGGCATGGTGCCACACCCATGCCTGCAGTCCCAGCTAACTCGAGAGGCTAATACAGAAAAATCCCTTGAACCCAGGAGGCAGAGGTTACAGTGAGCTGAGATCGCACCACTGCACTCCAGCCTGGGTAACAGAGCAAAACCTCAGGAAAAAAAAAAAAAGAAGAAAACAAAATATATATTTTTCAATCTTGGGGTTAGAAAGGGCTAATTAATCAGTAAGATGCAAAAAAAAAAAAAAAAAAGAAAGAAAAAAGAAAAATGCTGAGCTGACAAATCTCATATCAAAACCTAAAATTTTGTACAACAAAGTATTTTCAACATAAGAGATAAGGATAAAGATCTAGGGTACAGTTGGCCCTCGTATCCATGGACTCCACCAACCATAGACCAAAAATATTTGGGAAATAAAAAATGGATAATTGTGTCTATACGAACATACACAGATTGTTCTGGACATTATTCCCTAAATAATACAGTATAACAACTATTTACATATTATTTATATTGTATTATGTATTATAAGTAATCTAGATTTAAAGTATACAGGAAGAGATGTGTGGGTTATATGCAAATACTATGCCATTTTATATAAGGGTCTTGAACACCCATGAACTTTAGTATCTCAAGGAATCCTGGAACAAAACCCCTACAGATCCAAGAGTGGCTATATATTAATAACTCTTACAAAGAAAAAACTCAACAAAAGAGTAGCAATATGCAAACACGCTCAGCTTCACTAGAAACTGAGGATATGTAAATTAAAATGAGATACAATTTCACTAACAGATGGATAAAAATTTAAGGCACTAATACTATCAAGTATTGGCAATGGGGTGGAAAATGGGAAATCTCATAATGTTTGGTGGGAGCATGAACTGATATGGCCTTTGGTTGAGCAGCCAGGCAGTTTAAATTGTAAATATGTCAAAAATAAAAGAATAGATTTTAAATATGTCTCCCCTCTGCTTGAGCATTTGCTCGTAGGTACCAAGCCTAGAAAGATACACATACACACAAGGCACCCGTATTCAGGCATGCTTACTCTCAGTATGGATCTCTTATGCTTAAATATGGCAAATTCGTAACAGGAAACGCTAGGAGCAAATATTTTTTAAAAGGTGGTTCTAAATGAGTGGCTTTCAACCCTTAGGTACATTTCAGAATTGCCTGGAGCTTTTAAAAAATTAGAATTCCAGGGCCCTACCTTCAGAGAGTCACATTTCACTTGTCTAGGTAGAGGAAAGGTGATGGCAATTTTAAAAAGCTCCCAGGTGGTACCAATAAGAAGTCAGGACTGAAAACTAGTGATTTATCTATACTGACTTGGAAAGTTCTCCAAAGCAATAAGTTAAAAACAAAAATAGAACCATAGGACCATTTGTGCAGTATGATACTATTTAATGTGTCTTTTAAAAATCATATTATATATACATGCACGTAAGTGTCTTGAATCATATACACTAAGCTGATGACAATGTTTACTTCTTAAAAGAGAAAGTGAAGAATTTTGGGGGTGAGGGTGGTTAGTCCAGATCTAGGGAAACATGGACTCATCTGAATTGCTTGATTTCTTTAGAGAATGCATTCATTGCTTATGTTACCAAAACTAAAGGATGAATTTTTAAAGAAAAGCATAAGCTAACAAAATACTACTGACTTACTCAAATATTAAGCAAAGCTAATTCAAATCATGACATGGTATAACTGAGACCTCTTAATTTAATTAGGCAACTGACATATTTACTTAAGCTTCATTTCTATGTTTAAACAACAAAGTGGATCAAATTCCAAAATCCTAAAAATCGAATTTTACTTGCTTGAAATATATAACAACTGCTCTTGTAAGTGTTCTCAGAAACTGAAGGGTCTTGCACATTGTCTTATTAGTAATTTACTACAGTGATCCTCAATGCCCATCCCACCATCATCACTGCCCCGTATCTGATCCTGCACCCAGTACCACGGTCACCACTTTCAGTAGAATTTTACAAAGAAACAACCCAGTGATTTAAGAAAAAAAGATTTATTTTTATAAATGAGATAAGGGGAAAAAACTAGAAAAAAAGAAAATGGCAAAGGAAGACTAGCTTGTGTGATAAGCAAGGACCACCTACTTCTCTGCTTTCCCAAGCCACTGTATGACAGAAACAGCTCGCTGCCTGCCACACTCCCATGTGCCCCTCCTATGTCACTCACAGAGCCCCTGTTTTAGCAGGAGATCACAATGCACTAGGCTTTTAAAAATATACATATATATATACATTTCCCAGCCTCTACTGCAGGCAGGGCAGCCAAGTGACACGGTCCTGGTCACTAATGTATAGTTGACAGTTGAGCAACATGGGTTTGAATTGTAAAGGTCCCCTTAAACACAGATTTTCTTCCACCTCTGCCAACTCCTGAGATAGCAAGACCACCCTTCTCTCCCTCCTGCTCAGCCTATTCCATGTGAAGACAATGAGAATGAAGACTTTCTCATGATCCACTTCCACTTAATGAATAGAAAATATATTTTATTTTCCTTATCATTTTCTTTTCTCTAGCTTACTTTATTACAGGAATATAGTGAATACACATATAATAAAATATGTGGCCGGGTGTTGTGGCTCACGCCTGTGATCCCAGCAGTTTGGGAGGCCAAGGTGGGTGGATCACTTGAGGTCAGGAGTTCGAGACCAGCCTGGCCAACATTTGTAATAAAACCCTGTCTCTACTACAAAAAAAAAAAACACAAAAATTAGCCAAGTGTGGTGGCAGGCACCTGTAATTCCAGCTACTTGGGAGGCTAAGGCAGGAGAATCACTTGAACCCAGGAGGCAGACATTGCAGTGAGCCAAGATTGTGCCACTGCACTCCAGCCTGGGTGACAGCATAAGACTCCATCTCAAAAAAACAAAAACAGAAACAAAATATGCGTACAAAATATGTTATCAGTAAGGCTTCCAGTCAACAATAGTTTATTGATAGGGTTTGGGGGAGTCAAAAGTTATATGCAGAGTATCAACTACACTGGGTTTGGGTCAGTTCTCCTAACCCTACACTGCTCAGAGATCAACTGTATATGCAGAGGGATAGCCTAATGGGCCACAGACTTGGATGGCTTGTCCCTCTTACTCCTTTGCTTTTACCCTTGCCTTCCCTTTCCTCCTGCCCAGAACACAGATGTCATGGCCGCTGGTCCAAGAGGCACCTTGTGAGCACAAGTGGAAAGATCATGCCTGCAAAGGCTGGAGCCAAACGGCAGGAGTCTGCAGCCCTGTCCATAACATGGTTCTGCAGTACCAGCTCTGCACTGCCTAACTTCTTGGCTTCTGGTATTTGGGCTTCCCATTATACACAGTCAAATGAAAACCTTAACTTATACAGAGGAATTACTCCAGAGCAGTGGATTCTAGATCAGAATAAGGAAAAGAGAGGAATTACTCCAGAGCAGCAGATTCTAGACCAGAATAAGGAAAACAGAGGAATTACTCCAGAGCAGCGGATTCTAGACCAGAATAAGGAATACTATAGAGCAGGACTGGCCATCTATGGCCTGGAGCAGGGCAAATCCAGCCAGGAACATTCTTTTATGCATTGTCTAAGGTTGCTTTTGTGCAACAACAGCAGAGTTGAGTGGTTACAATAGAGACCATCTGGCCCACCAAGCTGGAAATATTTACAGATTATTCAACCTTTTACAGAAAACATTTGCTGAGTCCTACTACAAAGGGTTATCCATAATTATAATGGCACCAGGAGGTAAAATACTCCCTGAAGACTCCCACTACCATTGTTCACTCTTCAATAGCCCCCCCTCCCCCCAAAAAAAGCCCTCACCAGCTGGGGTAAAGAATCCCGGTACTTGGTATTTAATTGGTTCACAAAGCATCGGATGATCCAGTAACAGTCAACACTATCTTCCACCATTTCCTCCATGGCTTTAGCTATGGCAAGAAATGCTTCATCTTCTGGCTCCTGAAAGATGAATAATAAATCTCAAGAGGAAGGCAGTGAAAGAGAGGAATACATATTTCTTCAATAAAAAATGAAACCTTGCTCCCTAAATTTTGAAAAGGCTGCATTAATAAATCAAAGTGGGATCAAAAAGCCCAGAGTCCATCCCTGAAGAGGGGAGCAAGGGGGGAGACAAAGATGAGTAACCACAGGATCACTGCTGCTTATGAATGACCAGGTTTCTGTACAGACTCTCCAGCTTCGAATGTTAAGCCCATCACAGAGTCCACGTAAATCATAAGCAAGTCACTGGCTCTCTCCACCCAAAAATATTCTCAGTACGAGGTGAGAATGTATTTGAAAAGGGTGTAATAAATAGCACCAACAGTAACTGGAGACACTTTTCAGCACGGTAATTTGCAAATATTGAAGAACTCCAAAAAGACTTTTTAAAGCATTTGCTTTCAAAGCATTCATGCATACCTTTAGAATTTTGTTCTAGTTTAAGCAGCAAAAATTTTTAAATGTTCCTAGAATCAGAATTTTAGGAATCAAAAGAATGGCATTTCTCAAGCCTTGTGTCAGAATGTGAAAGTAAACTCTCAGGTAAATTTCAACAGAGAAATCTTAGAAAAACTGGAACCTTATTTGAAAGCCTCTTGTTTTCAAACACCATACCACATATAAAAAGCTTAATATTTTCATCTAGGATTTAACAGCTGAAGAATTTTAAAATTAAAAAGAAACTAAGAAGTATCATAGTTTCCCGTAGAAAGTACTGAGGAGTTAAATCATAAATCTTATTTTAATGTATTATTTCATTCTAAGCCCTTCTTTCAACTTGTTAATATTCTATAAAATGTCAAGAAAAACAGAATTACAATCATTGGAAATAAATTTTCTCTAAGCATCGTATTAATGTGTCAGAAGAGAATGGAAAACAAGCAGAAGAAAAGGGAAAGGAAACCTCCTTTCTTGGACTCCCCTTGCAGTCCTACTCACTGTGCTTGGCACCCCCAAAGGTGGCATGTCACTGACTGATCCTGACTACTGACAGGTCAAGGGAAGAGGACCAAGTCCTTCCTGGCCCTGTGCTGAGCACTGCCGCACACTCTTACTGACAGATTAAAAATGGAGGCAGAGTGGGCACTAAGTGGGTGCTATGGTTCAAATATCTGTCCCCTCCAAAACTTACATTAAAATTGAATCCCCAATGTGGCAGTACTGAGAAGTAGGGCCTTTATGAGGTGACTGGATCATGAGGGCTCTGCCCTCATCTTTGGGTCAATTCATAGATTAATGGGTTATCACAGGAATGGGACTGGTGGCTCCCTAAGGAGAGGAAGAGAGTCCTGGCTGAGCATGTTGGCACATTCAGCCCCCTTGCCATGTGACAACCTGTGCCATCTCAGGGCCCTGCAGAGAGTCCTCATCAGCAAGAAGGATGTCACCAGATATAGCCTCTGCATCCTGGACTTCCCAGCTTCCAGAATTGTAAGAAATAAATTCCTTTTCTTTATAGATTATCCCATTTCAGGTCCTCTGTTATAAGCAACCAAAAACAGACTAATACAATAGGGCTCATGACTGTGGAGATGTGGGGTGGCAGAGCCTAAAACACACACTCACAAGCATGCCTGCCTGAGGCCGCAGCCCAGGAGTCTCAGCTTGGAACACAGACAAGCTGAGGAGCGGTGAAGGGAAACCTATAACCTATCATCTCCATTCCTTGAACTAATAGATTATCTAATTTAATTTGATACGTAATTTAAGAACTTGTGTAGTACTATCAACTTCACTTTGCCAGTAAGTGAAATTTAAAGAAGACTGCTTAAATTATTCCAATTATTTTTTAGGGACCTTCTCTCTCTCGATAAATATAACATAACTGATCTTTGTTGGCTCTAAAGTTTGTCCATGGACACCCCATCATTAACTTCAAAAAAAAAAAAAGATCTGCAATAAAAATAAATTTTGTAAAACAGGAAAGTGTTCCAGCAAATCCATTTGAACAATTCACTGTTTTAGCCAAATAAATAACACTTTAATTTCATACTGATATAAAGAAATAAAGGAGAAGGGAAAACTCTTCCTTAGAGAAGAATGCCAACTAATACATGCAGAAAGAATGAGGGAGTTAGATCACCATTTGGCCACCAGCATAATAAAAACTGGTTCAGGCAAGAATCATTAGTGGATGGCTATTTACAAGTCTCAAAGTACCTCCCCACAGTTACTTATTCATTACAAGGTGGAAAATAGAAACCTTATAGTGGAGAAGCTTCACAGACACCATCTTACCCAAGTGATCAAAGTTAGCGGCAACAGTAATGAGTCCCATACTTCTGTGGTATTCCTGCCAGTAATGCATGACCAGAGTCTAATCATGGGGAAACATCAGACAGACCCAAATTGAGAAATGCGCTCCTGGCCAGTGCTTTTCAAATGTGTCAAGGTCATGAAAGACCAAGACGGAAGAACTGTTCCAGATCAATGACTAAGACATGGAAGCTAAATGTAATGTGTGATCTGGAACTGGATCTTGGATCAGAAGAAGAGCATCAGTGAGATACCAGCAAAATTCCAATGAGGTCTACAGAGTGGCTCCCAGTATTGTGATTCTCTGGTTTTGATCATTACTTTATTAGTAACATTCGAGGACACTGGTGAAGGTATTTGAGAACACTGTACTATTTTTGCAACTATTTTCTATACCCAACATTACTTAAAAATAAAAAGTTAAAAATTTTTTAGAAATCGTCAAATGAGAATACTTTGAACAGAGTTTAATAAGGAATAGGATATTTACATAGCAGTTTTAAAGTGCCTCCCCACAAAGAGAAATAGTAATTACAAAGGGAAATTTCCAGTGGAAAACTCCAGCAGACACCACCCTTGCCAAGTGATCCAAGTTAACACTACCTCTTAAGGGGCAAATCCGCACCATGTTCCTCCTGTAAGAGCCACTGAGAAGGACACAGCATCACCTACATCTGATGTCCCTACAAAAAATGAATAACCTGAATCTAATCAGGAGGAAGTACCAGACAAACCTAAATTGAGGGCTTTCTTCAAAGCTTCTGATTATGCCCTTCAAAAATGTCAAAGACATGAAAGATAAGAAAGGACAGAACTCTCTCAAGTCAAAGGAGACTAAAGCAATACAATAATAACCCAGTGCAACGCCTAGTCCAGGATCCAATCCTCACCCAGAACTTTGACTGTTTCCTTATTTTTGAAGGGCATTATTGGTCAAATTCAAATGGAGTTGGTAGACTAGATGTTAATATTGTATCTGTGTTAACATCTTCGTTTTGAGGACTGTACTACAGTTATCTACAGGGGAAGTGTACACTGAAGGAATCTGAGATGACAGGGAATCCTGTCTGCATCTTATTCTCAAATGATTTGGGAAAAAAATGTGCATACGTATATTTTTTAAATGACAAAGCAAAGCAGATGCACATAATGTTAATAACTGGAGAATCTGGGTAAAGGGTATATTTGAATTCTTGGTAATATTCTTGCAACTTTTCTAGAAGTTTGAAATTACTTCAAAATAAAATGTATTTAAAAAAAAGGAGGAGGAGGAGGTTGGGTCAGAATGCACATGGCCACAAATGCCAGGTAAAAACGTGTCACTTTTATTTTTTTTGAGACACAGTCTCACTCTGTCGTCAGGCTGGAGTGCAGTGGTGCGATCTTGGCTCACTGCAACTTCTGCCTCCCGGGTTCAAGTGATGCTCCTATCTCAGCCTCCCAAGTAGCTGGGACTACAGGTGCAGGCCACCACGCCCAGCTAGTCTTTGTATTTTTAGTAGAGATGGGGTTTCACCATGTTGGCCAGGATGGTCTTGATCTCTTGACCTCCTGATTTAGCCGCCTCGGCCTCCCAAAGTGCTGGGATTACAGGTGTGATCCACCATGCCCGGCTGTCACTTCTATTCTAATAACAATAGGGAGTCACTGAAAGTTTTTAAGGCAAAATATGATGGAATCAAAGGCTGGCAAGATGGGACAGTCTAGAGTTGAGCTCAGTGTCAGGCAAAAGTGACCACTAACCAGTGGAAAAGAGGAACTTCGAGGTAATTTCCCAGATTCCAGCTGATACATGCGGAGATAGACTTCAACCTGAGGTGTGGCATCACTGACAAAGCGAATGACTTTCAGGGCATGAAGGACATCAGAGTACTGCTCCTTACGATACGTCATCACCTTGGCATGGGACTCATGGTGTGGAGGCAGGATTCCTAGAGAGAACAGGAATAAAGAAAAAAGGGCAAAATACTGAGCCATCACTCCAAATCTCTCCTCTATCAAAGAGGATGCTGTGAGAAGCAACCCATCACAATAAGGCTAGAATTCACACAGATATTTAAGTACCATATAGAATCTTTTAGAAATTCTCACTATAAAACAATCTTAAATGTGAAATATTATCAATGTTTGAATGGTGATGCATCATGGACAGGACAGAGAAATCCCTTGAGTAAGTGTGCCACATACACTCAAGATTAGACAATGGTTTAACTTCACGCATAGCAGCTTCAGGCTGCCTTTAGCTCCTAGAGGTCTCACCCTAGTCTTTGTATTTGGCCCCTATATCTCGCACCACCAACAGCTCATTGAATCCTTCTCTTCCCCAATAGTTAAAATTGCTCACTTAGCATCCTATCCTCCAGGCCAAAAAGTCCTTAATCTTCATTGGTGAGGTCACCTTACATGACATTTCTGTGATATATTAAGCTCATTAACCCATTTAAACATGGTGTCATATCTTTTTTACAAACAAAATGGCTCTGAGAAAACCACTAGACAGCCCAGCCATCCTGGATTCTAGCCTCAGATTAAATAACACTAGGTCTCTCAAATGTCTTTGTCTTCCTGGGCACTTGTTTCCCCATCTGTCAAAGGCAGGAAATGGGATAGATAAGCATTTCACCGAATGCTTCTTCACAGAATGCTAGCCCCAAGAGATTAAAATGCCATCATCAAACAGATTGGGGAAATGATGACAATGAATTTTCATGGCTCTAAGTTTTGCCATAAAGAAAAACATTTTAGGCCAGGTGTGGTGGCTCATGCCTATAATCCTAGCACTTTGAGAGGCTGAAGCAGGCAGATCACTTGAGGCCAGGAGTTCAAGACCAGCCTGGGCAACATGGCGAAACCCTGTGGCCCATGCCTGTAGTCCCAGCTACGTGGGAGGCTGAGAGGGGAGAATCACCTGAGCCTGGGAAGTCAAGGCCACAGTGAGTTGTGATCATACCACTGCAGTCCAACCTGGGAAACGGAGTAAGACCATCTCAAAAAAAAAACACAAAACAAAACAAAACAACCATTTTATTAGTCTCATTAAACTTAACGAGGCTCTACAGAAGCACAGACTCTGGAACAAAGTTCCTGTTTTTAAATTCCAGCTCTACAATTAACCGGCTGGGTGGTGACCTTTAGCAATTACTTCATCTCCCTATGTCTTAGCTTCCCCATATGAAAAATGGGAATAATAATACCTAATCTCATACAGTTGTTCAGATGAATAAACAAATCAATATACACAAAACACTTAGAAGCGTACTTGGCAAACACTAAGCTACTGTAAGTGTTAGCCAGTACGTTTGACTATGAATCCCTCTTTGGTGCAAAACACCACCGGTTTAGTATTCTAGAGAACACCCTGGAAAACAAAAACAATAGTAGCTAACATGATACCACATTAATGTTAGAAATAAACTTGCTTAAATATTCTTTTCCCTGAAATAAAAATTATCATAGCTATGAGACTGTGTATCAAGCTTCCAGAAAAGTGTCTCCATCTCGGCTAATACAGGTTAAACAGCTGTAACCGAACCATCATCGTACTGCTAGAGGCAGCAAGTTAACTCTTAGACCTGGTTTCTAAGAGCTGGTCCTAAAAGATCCCCAAGTAATCAAAACTCTGTGCTAAGAAGAGTCAGGCTGTTTCCTACACAGCACAACAGCTCTAAGCCTCCAGGGCCTTTTCCTAAAAAAATAACTATGATTTACATAATAAAGAAAGGGAAGAAGAGTAGAAGTGATGAATAAGCCAGGCAGGCTGTAGCACAACACACAACTGTGTAACTCCCATTAATTCCACCAGAGTTATTAATAGACACATAGCACCTCCCAGCAGAAATGGGCACTGTTGACATTACTACTTAAAATGTACCCCAGAAGGTACTGGAAACAGTAAAATTTAAGGAAAAGTGTTCTAGGAAAAACTAAAATAGTTGTCACCACTTCTCCCATTGTAACTGCACACTGACCTACCAGACATAAAAGTGCACAGAGACAGCCAAGATGCACAACGACAAAGTAGTTACCTAGCACTTTGGGAGGCCGAGGCAGGCAGATCAGGAGGTCAATAGATCAAGACCATCCTGGCCAACATGGTGAAACCCCATCTGTACTAAAAATACAAAAATTAGCTGGGTGTGGTGGTGTGTGCCTGCAGTCCCAGCTACTCTAGTTCCAGCTACTTCCAGTCCCTAACTGGACTTCCCCTGGCAGTTTAAAAACCTAGTTGAGTACTGCTGCTCAGCCAGCCCAAGGACCAGTGAGGCAAGCAGAGAAAGAGAAAGCATTTGTAAGCTTTAGTAGCTACGTTAAAGAGTACCTTTGTGTCTGCTAGACCAGTTAGGAAGTCCAGTTAGGACTGGACCAGGAGGATGTGGGGGCGGGGGCGGGGAGCAGAATTGCTTGGACCCAGAAGGCGGAAGTTGCAGTGAGCCAAGATCGCACCACTGCACTCCAGCCTGATGACAGAGTGAGACTCCATCTCAAAAAAAAAAAAAAAAAAAGTCATTATGCAAGGCTTTCTAGCACCACTTATATTCCCTCACTACCTCCATATTACATAACCAGAGAGGGCTGCAGGTACCTCAAGCCCTGAAGATACATTTTGGAAAAAAAGTGAGGTCTACAACCTATCTTACCTTCAAATGAGTCCCACAAATGTAAGCTCAAATCCTAGCTCTGCCCCTACAGGCTATAATGCCTTAGGCAAGTTATTTAGCCTTGGAGAGTAATTTTCCCCACCTGTAAAATTACAATAGCAATACCGGCCTCACAGGGGAATTCTATTACTATGAATAATCTTTGTAAGCTACTCAGCCTACTGATAGGCACACAGGGATGCCCAATAAGGCACAGTCATAGTTTATATTCCTCAAGGAATTTAGTCCTCATGACTATCTTACAGTTAACAAACTTAAAAATATTTTTCTAAGAAAGACCAGGAGGATGGTAATGGATAGGAATTATATGCTCCAGCAGGCTCAGCAATGATAGGGGAAAGAAAATCTTGGGCTCAGAAGGGATATTGCCAGTTACTCATAGTGCTTAATTCACGTTTTCTTCCACAGAAACTCAGTAAGGTCAGGTTTCCTTCTCATTCAGCCACTCACACCACTGGAATTTAGTCAGTCACACTTCTAGGGAGTAATAAGTCTCCAATTCCTCTCTGACTCATTAGGAAGTTATACTGCTAAAGCTGAGAATCACAAAACCTTACAAATTTAGAGCTAAAACCTAGGAATTATTTAGCTCAAAAGCCTCATGTTACAGATGCAAAAAATGAGTCCCAGAGGGGTCATTTTCCTCCAGGTTCCCCAGCTGATAGCAAAGCCTAAACCAATCCTCCTTTCTCCTAATCTTGTCTCCTATTTTGTGAGACAAGACTATTTCTTGTCTCGGGAACATACACTATTTTCTCTTCTATAGTATCAGTAATAGAAGAGAAAATAGTAAGCAGTAACTGAATCTCCTGGGGAAAATTCAATATTCAGCAAACAGCCTAAACAAATTCTCCTTTCTCTGACTGGTAAGATAGCAAATGATCCCATTATTCACTATTTTTGAACATAAATCTTCCAACTCCTGGGTCTCATACCTAGAAGCACTTTCCATACCAATGCACGGTACATGGACGGGAGAGGGAACCTCTGACTAAAGGTACAAAGTTTTTCAATATCTAGAGGAAGAAGAAAACATAGTTAGAAGCTTTTCATGCTGATCACAGTATGTCAAAGCACATTTCATTTTTTAAAACTGAAAGAGCAGTTAAGACATTTCTTCAGAGGATGTCTACCATATGGTCAGTAAGTTTAGGAGAGGCAATACTAGCCTGATTTCTAGCCCGAGACTTCTACCAACTAAGTTATTTAAAAACAATTAGCAGCTGGGCATGGCGGCTCACACCTATAATCCCAACACTTTGAGAGGCTGAGGCAGGCAAATCACTAAAGGTCAGGAGTTTGGGACGAGCCTGCCCAACATGCTTAAACCCCATCTCTACTAAAAATACAAAAATTAGCCGGGTATGGTGGCACACACCTGTAGTCCCAGCTAGTCAGGAGGCTGAGGCAGAAGGATCGCCTGAACCCAGAAGACAGAGGTTGCAGTGAGCCAACATCATGCCACTGCACTCCAGCCTGGGCAACAGAGTGAGATTCTGTCTGAACAAAATAATAAAAATAAAAACAATTTGCATTTTGCAGCATTGGAGATGCATTTTGCATATATTACTACGTTTTCTTTAACATTATCGGTAGTTATTAATTACAGGGTTTATTTCATTTAATTCACACTACAAGCCTGTCAGGTAGTTATTGTTCTAAAAATGCAGAAACTGAAGCTCAAAGCAGTTAAATGATTTGATCAAACTAACACAGCTAGTAAATGGTACAGGCAGCCTTCAAATCCCTGCATTTTCCAATAACTTACAGTTACTTCCCTGACCCTCAATTCCTCTACTTATCAAAGGAGAATACCAGACACACTAAAGCCAATACTGTACAGTGAAGAACAAAGATAAGGTGAGAAATGTTTCACAAACTTTAAAAGTACTCTATGCAAATAAAGTACTATCTTTAACTATGGTTCAGTTTATTTTACTTTAGTCAACAAAAGATCTTATTAATACTGGCTTAAAATAAACTAAAATGTCAATATACAGTGCAGTCTTAGTATTTCCATAAAAGAAAATCATGGGCCAGGCGTGGTGGCTCATGCCTGTAATCCTAGCACTTTGGGAAGCCAAGGTGGGTAGATCACTTGAGGTCAGGAGTTTGAGAACATCCTGGCCAAAATGGTGAAACCCCGTATCTAATAAAACAAAAATAACAGCCAGGCATGGTGGTGTGTGCCTGTAATCCCAGCTACTTGGGAGGCTGAGGCAGGAGAATCACTTAAACCCAGAACGTGGAGGTTGCAGTAAGCCAAGATTGCGCCACTGCATTCCAACCTGAGTAACAGTCAAAAAAACAAACAAAAAAAACTAAAACCATGACCAGAGTTACTGCAAATTTACCCAGAAGCAAATTTACCAAGGTAATACAAGAAAACATATGGGTTCAATAAAAGAAAAAATATTACTGACTTTCTTGAGAAACATTTCAAAAACTTCTCTCAAATATAAATTTGAAAAATCTGTAACTTTTCTCAAAATACACCATTCTGCTTCACCACGTTACTAAAAAATACAGCAAGTAACCAATGCTTCTGTATGTCTTTTAAGATATTCACTTCAGAACATGTGGAATTGATTGAGAACCAATGAGCTTAATTAAACGTATAATACTCACCCAGACGGTCATCTTTTAGGAGAATTTCTAATGATTTCTTTTCTTCAACTCCACGAAACCCCACTTTCTCATAATATACCGAACGAAAGTTTCTCTGCGAGTCCTCAGTCATATTTCATTCTTGGAGGAGACAGACAAAGATAGAGGGAGACAGAGATTAAGGGGGAAGAGTGAGGTTAGAAACAAAGAGAATAATTTTCAATGATGTTCTCTACCTTTTCAATAAATCTTATGTGCCCTTGCATAGGACTCAATATTAAGTCTTTCCTGTTACTCAGTTCTAGAACCATCTCACCTATGCATCTTGGCCAAAAACTAAGATAAAAGTTAAAAGTTCTGAGCTGCTAAAATAGATAGCACAAGGTCTATGCACTAAGTTTCCCACTATACCTATGAGTGCCTATCACAATAAAACACTCTGTAGCCATTATAAATGGACAAAGAAAAAAATAAGTGAAATGGGAAGCCAGGCAAGATATGTCAAGCAAATTATACTTGAACAATATACACTATGATATCATTTTTTGTTTTTTACAAACATCGTGAATTTTAAAACTCTATTCCAAAATGTTAGCAGTAGTTATCTTTAAGTAGTAGGAGTCTAGATGATTTTAATTTTCTTTCTTTTGCTTAGCTATGTTTTTTTAATGGGCATTTTGTGAAACGAAAAATTAAGTTATATAAAAGGAAAAAGCCACGAGATTCTCCCTTATCTTTTACTTTAAACACAATTCTATCAAACGTTGCTATCAAAATTCAAAACCCACAACAGATAAATAACATTAAATTATAACCAGAAGAGGGTAAAGAATGTAGCCGGTTGACAGTGATCCCAAAGTCAGAGTTGAAGACAGAAAAACGATTTAAAATCTATCACACGAACTCAAAAAACTCGGTGGCCTCAGGTTCCTTCACACTAACCTCCACAATATTGGCGGTAACTCATCCAAAAAAGAAAAAAAAAAAAGACCAAGTTAGATTAGCTTTTCAAAAACAGAAGGGACGTGATGCATTTCCCAAAAAGCACTGCACTGCCTCACCCAAATGCTTCCAGCGTCTGTGCACAAAAGAGTAAATATTTAGGTTTAAAAATCCTGAGACATCCCCAGGGAGCAGGAGGTTTCCTTCCTTACTGAAAAGATATCCTCTGAATCGATTCCGTCACAGGAAACATTAGGATTCGTTTAGAAAACGAAAATTCTAAGGGTCCCTGAGCTTTCCGGAGCAGATGTCTTAAAAAAAAGTCAGAAGCAAAAAACGCGTAATGAGTGTGGGGATTTTTTTTAAAGCATCCAAAACAGTTGCATGACCATACGGTCGGTCCCTGTGTCTAAGGACACCCATTCTTAGATTGCACTACAATGACAAACGCCTCCTCTCGGAGGAAATCTTGCAAATGATATCTCCTGGCCATGAGCGTCCACCTAATGGGAAAAGTAAAAACACCTTGGTCCAAGACCCCAGGTTCCACTGATGGATGCTTCACCTCTAGTAGTGGAAACACACCCGGGTTGAGACTAAGCAGGCCGGGAGAAGCAGAGGACGCTGTGCCCCGTGCGCTGACCGACCGGCGGGCAGGCAAGCACCGTTGGGACCCCGGGCCAGGAGGGGTGGGTCCTGCGGGAAGGAAGGTGGCGGCGGGACACCAGGGACACCTGCGCGCGCCCCGCCGGCCCGAGAGGCAAAACTCAGCCCAGCTGTCGCCGCCGCCGCCGGACGTGACGTCACCTGCACGTCGAGGGGCGGGCGCTGGGCGGGCGCATGCGCAGAGGACGCGTGCAGGAAGCTCCACCCTCACTCCGGAAAGGTCGGGCTTAGTTCCTGAAACCCAACTGGATGAAGGACTAAACTCGCCTCCGAACTAGTGTACCTTTTCCCGCGCTGAGCACCCGGCCCCTTGCTACCCCGCAAAATCTCGTGACCATTTATACCGGCCGTCCAAAGGCGCGTGATTGGGTTGCGTTCCGGTCTCCAGCCCTCGAGGTTCCTGCCTAGGGGAGACCCGAGCCCTTGGGCCGTACCCGGGTTTTGCTTTTGCTGCTTTCCTACCCCCAACCCACCCCCCGGGTTTGTGGAAGTAAATGAAGACCATCCGAACAGGAAGAGCAAAGGCGTCAGCCACTGTCCCTTGTATTTGGGGAAGGGCGCAATGGCAGGCAGAGGAGTGGGGACGCTTTAGGGTGGACGAAAGGGAAGGTTGGGTGTGCGCTTACCGGAGGCTGGAGGCGGCTCCCTGGAAGTGGAACATCCTAGGGATTGGTTAGCGGGCATATTTGCCTTTCTCTGGTTGGTCGTAACTTGGAAGCAAGGACAAAAATTAAGAAAGCTCTCAGTTATTAAGTCCTGGCCGTTTGGGCCCGGTTATTAACAGAAGTTATTGTTCAGCTTCCTAGATTGTTGCTAGAGACGGCAATCTGGCTTCCTGCAAGTCTGATTTAGACCAGGCAGGCTCCCCGGCTTGGTTATTGTAGATAACGGACTGGTTTTCTGGATAGGTTACTGCAGGTTGTGGATTAGAAGTCTTCTTATATTGCGTTGGGCTATTGTGTTTGTATATTCCCCACACTCTCAGGTAAAATACTATAAAATAGGAGAAAAATGAAGTTTAAAAAAAATGCGAAATACCAGCTCCAATTTGTTAGTAGGTCTAGCGGACACAAAGGTACTCTTTAAAGTAGCTACTAAAGCTTACAAATGCTTTCTCTTTCTGTGCTTGCCTCACCGATCCTCGGGCTGGCTGAGCAGCAGTACTCAACTAGGTTTTTAAACCGCCAGGGGAAGTCCAGTTATAGTGCAGACAAATGTGTGGTATAATGGCTAGACAGAACTTAAAAATGAAGAAACGTGTGGTAGTTGAACTCAAACGCTGATGTTCCTCCCAACCCCTTATCACCACCATCTTTAGTTCCTCAGCACTGGGGTACTAAACCTTACTTGGGCAGTGTTCACATGAGTAAACACAGTTCTTCAAGTTACCTTACACAAGTTCCATCCACTTCGTCTAAACCCAGTTACTAACTTTTAGAGTCTCCTTTTCTTATCTTTAAATCATCATCAGGGCTGGGCGCAGTGGCTTACACCTGTAAGCCCAACACTTTGGGAGGCTAAGGTGGGGATATCACCTGAGATCAGTTCAAGACCAGCATGACCAACGTGGTGAAACCCCATCTCTACTAAAAACAGAATTAGTGTGATGGCGCACACCTGTAATCCCAGCTACTTCGGAGGCTGAGGCAGGATAATAGCTTGAACCTGGGAGGTCGAGGTGTGTGATGGCGCACACCTGTAATCCCAGCTACTGCTTAGGCGGAGGCAGGAGAATAGCTTGAACCTGGGAGGTGGAGCTTGCAGTGAGCTGAGATCGCACCATTGCATTACACCCTGGGCAACAAAAGCGAAACTCCGTCTCAAAAATAATAAAATCACCAATAGTGGTGATTATATAGAAGGTGGGAAGGGTTAAATGGGAAAGTATTGAAGTGCTTGGCACAGTGCCTGTCATGTGGCACGGAAGGGATATTTGTGGATTGGCTGTGTCAAGATCAAATAAAAATACAAAGATGAGTCTCTAAATCATTTTATTTGGGAAAACAGAATTGCAGTTCAGGGCATACACACAAACTGGGGTGATCTTCAGAAGAACAAAGAGATGGTTAGCGGTTTCATGAGAGAAATGGTATGTATTGCCTTGAAAGATAGTTCACTGACCCTGAGCAAAACTTTTAGGAGCAGGCAAGCTCTAATTTGTGAGAGAAGGTGTTAAGTAAAACTAGTCTTAGAGTTACAGCAGTTCATTTCAGCAGCTCCTATGTAAAACAGGTCTTCAACCACCTTGGAAGCTGGCTTTCAATGTAATTCCTGGGCAGGCACTTTGTGCCCCAACTGCTTTCTCTTCTCCCTCATCTCTGGACTCTAATTTAGCTAGATATGAGAAAATAACTCCAATTTATATAATCAGTTTTCGAGGCCGCTATTCGCTAAATGGAGACAGCAATATGGGTGCTTTCAGCTGCCCTTCATTCTGTTTTTTGATGAGCTGATAATAGAATACTTGAAAGCTTACCTAAGAGATAACACTCTGAGGCTTTTCTCAGCTCTGCAGCCAGAGTGACTCTAAAAATGTCCTTCCTCTGCACAGAATTCTTCAGTGACTCCCCGTCTCACTCAAAGTAAAAACTGAAGTGCTCACAACAGCTTACAGCACCTCTCATGATCTACCTCCTCTTACCTCAACTCAGCTGCTGTGAGTGACTCCCCTGCCTTGGGCCCTTCTCATGTTCCCTCTGCCTGCAAAACTAGCCTCTGCTAGCTGCAATGCCCACTTCCTCACCTCTGTCTCCATCAGACGTCCCCTCCCTGAGGCTACTCTCCCCACCCTACCTAAAATTGCAACGCTTCACCTGAATCCCAGTCCCTTGTATGCAGTTCTGCTTTTCCTTCTGCCACAGCACTGATCACTTATTGAGACAGAGTTTCACTCTTGTTGCCCAGGCTGAAATGCAATGGCCTGACCTTGGCTCACTGCAACCTTCGCCTCTTGGGTTCAAGCTGTTCTCCTGCCTCAGCCTCTGGAATAGCTGGGATTACAGGCACCCACTACCACGCCCGGCTAATTTTTTGTATTTTCAGTAGAGATGGGGATTTCACCATGTTGACCAGGCTGGTCTCGAATTCCTGACCTCAGGTGATCCACCTCCCTCAGCCTCCCAAAGTGCTGGGATTACAGGTGTGAGCCACTGTGCCCAGCCAGCACTGATGATTTTTTTAATCACACTGCATTATTGACTTATTTTAGTTTTTATTGGATCTGTTCTCCCACCAGAAGTCAGTTTCACAAGGTAAGGGATCTTTGCTTTGTTAAATGATGTATCCTGAGTCCGTAGAACAGTGTCTAGCACACTGTAAGTCCTTAATATAGACTTCTAAACAAATGAAAAGGGTTGTCACACAATGTGAATGGATGGCCATTCTTTCTTACAGTTGCATAGTTGAATTGTGAACTTTTAGCATTAGTAGTCACTGGACTCTTAGCATAACACAGATTATCGAATGGAGTTGGCAGGCAATAAAATATTTGTGGAATTTAATTGAAATAAGAATTGTAAAAGTCACCGGTGTACTTCACTGCGGCAGGTGTTGCTCCTTTCTGACTTGTAATATTTCTGCCCTCTAGTGGTTAACCTTCTTAAATTATTTAAAAATTATTTTTTAAAAAATTATTTTAAAAAATTATTTAAAAATTATAAAATTATTTTAAAATAATTAAATTATTTCTTAAAATTATTTAAATTATTTTAAAAATCATTTTTAAAATTATTTTTTAAAATTTTAAAACATTTAATTAAATTATTTTTAAAAATTATTTTAAAAATTATTTAATAAATTATTTTTTAAAAATTGTACCATACTGCTAGTCACAGAATCAAATCTCAAGGTTGAAAGAGACTTAAAAGTCAGCCAGTCCCATTAAATGTAGTGCAGAGAGCTAAGCTTCCAGGCATAAAAACAGCAGCATATCTTTAGAAGTGGCATCCTATCGTTCAGCTTCTAAATTTACTTTGGCAGAATAGTAATTGTCAAACACCGCTGGCCTCAATCCTTGTGCTTCTTTTTTTTTTTTTTTTTTTTGAGATGGAGTTTCACTCGTTACCCAGGCTGGAGTGCAATGGCGCGATCTCGGCTCACCACAACCTCTGCCTCCTGGGTTCAGGCAGTTCTCCTGCCTCAGCCTCCTGAGTAGCTGGGATTACAGGCACGTGCCACCATGCCCAGATGATTTTTTTTTTGTATTTTTAGTAGAGACGGGGTTTCACCATGTTGACCAGGATGGTCTCGATCTATAGACCTCGTGATCCACCTGCCTCGGCCTCCCAAAGTGCTGGGATTACAGGCTTGAGCCACTGCTCTCGGCCGTGCCTCTTTTTCTGTAGGAAATGGAGACTCAGTGAGGTTATGGCTGTTAAGACAACTGTCTTCACGTTGAATCGCCATTAAAGTGAATGTAGGAAAAATCCCATCACAGCATAACTGGTGAACATATACATTCAGATAGTTTATCGGTCAAACCACATCTCCAAAACAGCTGAAGAGAGTCAAATCTGGATGGTCCTGGACGCTCATTTCCTCCTTCATTTTGGTTATTTGGCAGAAAACTGGCTCAGCAGGTCTGTGTTAACTCAGTCAAATAGGCAGAAACACCTCATCGCTATAAATATGTACAATATTAGGGGCATAGAGATCAGCCTTGACTGGAACGTTGGTCACGGTGCATGTAAACCTCTATACCTGGCCTAAGCTGTGGGATAATTCAATTCCAGGAATGGCATGCAAGGTACTACTTTCTGCTTGTATGGTTTTCCTGTAATAAACCCAAACTTACACTTGTATTACTTAACACAGTGGTATGTTTTCATGGCCCTTT